TCAAATACCAAATAAAAACTGTAAAGGTTTTGTATAATATAAAAAAAACATCTATACAGGTATAATTAGCACATAAGTAAAATTTTTAGACTGTTATAGAGTCGCTATTAGCTTCAGCTATTTGCGATACGACCGATGTCTGAGCCTTAGGGCAACTCGAGGGGCAACTACTTTTCCTTCTGCACACTCTCTTCTTCCTTCTCGAACAACGTCGTCTGCAACTCCTTCTTTTCCTTTTACAAGTACGCCTCTTTACTTTACGTTTGCACGTGCGCCGTCTTTTCTGCAGCTTACATCTGAGCTTCCTTCGCCCAGGTTTACACTTAGTTCGAAAGGGCTTAGCAGCCCTTCCGGCCTGTGCTGCTCTGCACTGGTACTTTCTTCTGCGAAATTCACTCATGTTGCACCACCGGCGAGCTCCTTCGAGCGTCAGCTTGCATGAAAGCCACGTGGGGTATTTCTTACGCAGCTCTTGTAAGAAATTTAAAAAGGGATTTTTCGAAAAGCGGGAGTTTTTTCGTCTTTTGCAGATTACGTTTGTGCCCTTCTCTCTACGTCTACGTCTTCTACATGCCATAATTTCGGAATAAAATTCTCTGAAAGGTCAAACTAAAATTTTGAAGTTAACAAAACAATCTTGTTTGATACGTTAGTAACGCCCAGACGACTACGTAGTTTCACAAATTTCCTATGCAACTAACAAAGTTTGTCTATGGTTACCACTTTATTTTCCAAGGAGACGTAAAATGGTCGGCGAAATACTGACATTCATCACGTCGATCTTTCAGAGAAATGTACAAAAATTCGAAAAGTGAAATATCACGTCCAAATTGGTGTTCGCAGTTCATAGCTTTTCAAGCAAGGTACGGCCATTTTCTGTTGCTGAAACGCTCATAGTTCTTACACTTTTTATTACTCTTTTGGAATTACAGATATTGTTGTGTTATTTTGTTTTAGTTGTAACTTGAAAGAAATTATAGAGCGTCTGGATGTGACAATTTTGTTTAGTTCAATTAATTAACCGGGGGGGTTATTAATAATTTGAGACACAGGATTGCGTAAATTTCATGTTATAGTTTTGGTTCAATTTCTTAGAAGTGTTCTGTTTTTATTTTATTCCTAGAATTTTTTTCGATGTAAATTTCTTTTTTAAATTTTATTTGCCGTTAACGAGGTATAGCGCGAAGTAGAGATAAGGTTCTTCGCAGAATTGCCGGGCGTACGTGCCGTTCAGCAAGAAGTTGAAAAATCGACGCTTCGCGTGATTGGCGGACGGGATGTTGAAGAAAGGAGAAGGGCTTTTGGCTTAAATAGAAAATTTTGGAAGAGAGCGGGGCTTTTTGGTCGTTACAAAGCCAACCGGCGCTTCTTCGGTTACGTTATTTTTGAATTTTGTGGAAGTTTTCCTGCGTAGTTGGATCCAGGTTTAATTAGAATTTTGTGTCTGCCGTTTTAAGAAGAATTATTGAGAAGTTTAAGAAGTTTGTCGTCGTCCTGTTTTTTTTTTATTTTGCGGAAACACGGAAGTTTTGAATTTGTGGGTACCCGAAGAGAGAAGACGTCGGTGTTTGAGTGGTTGGTTTACGTGATTGTGTACGGATACCTCTTTTTATCGGAATACGTTATTCGGACTAATTTTAAAAGTAAGTAGTAGTTAGTGTTTTGTTTTGTCATGTTTTTTTTTGTAATGTTTGAGTAATTTGTTTTTTTTTGTGTGTGTCATTTATCTGTTTAAAATTGTAACATTTTGTAAAACAGAAATTTACGCAATTTTTTGTTTGAAATTAAACCAGTCATTGCAATCCAGGTTTTGTTTATTAGAGTCAAGGAGAGGTAATTGTCGGCGTCTCTTACTTTGTTTCAAGTTGATTAAATCTGGGGGTAAAGTTTCATATTGGAATTTAAGGATTTGGTTAAGCCACCTATTTATGTCATTGTTGGAATGCTGTGGGGTGGCAGAATCCAGCTGGACCTTGAGATGCGGATAAAAATTTTGTTTTCATTTTAATTACAACTGAGCTAGCTAGAGGTAAATCGTGGGATTCCCAGAAGTGTAGGTTAGGTCTCACAACAATATGTATTTCGGAAAATGTTTTGTCGAATGTTAAATTACAAGAGAGAAAATTTTGAAGTTAAAACTGCGACATATAAGTGTGTTGCTTGGCAACTTTGGCAAATGACATTTGTTAAATGATTGCCATGAGTGAAGTTGTCAGAAAGCGTTAAATTTGAACTAAACCAGAAGAACATTTAGCCAACAATAATTGGTGCCGAATAATATTCAACAAGACTATTTCGCGAAACCAAATAACTAAAATGACATTGCTCATTTTACAAAGTAAGGTAACTGTTATTTGAGGATATGCTACAGGTAAGAGCTTTGCCATTTAAAAGACAGCCGTTACTATGTAATTTTGCCACTAGTTTAAGATCTGGCAATGAATGTCGTTTTTGCGATCCGTATGAAGACGTTAATAAGTTTTTCAACTTTATTGTATACAGCCATCACGACAAGTAATCTTCAATAAGAAGAGTAGCGCCCAATTTACAGTTGCCACCATTGGTTTCATCAAGCCGTAAAGCAAAATAGAACCAATGTGCTCAGCTACAACTTTTTAGCCATATCTACCATTTTTACAAAGATTTCGCATTTAAGGCCACGGAAAGAGAGTTTTAAACATTTTCCTATTTCAACTGCTCCGCACAGGGAAGAATATCCACCTACACATACCTATTTCCGACTCTTATGAAGGCAAATTATTATGAGCATTGGTTATTGCTTTTTTTTCCTTTTTAAGCATGGCCGAAGAACTGTGGATGCTATCTCATGCATCTCCCCTTTCTTGGAGAACATATTAATAACATGGTTTCGAGAAATAAAACTTAATGGCAGAACGCAAACCAGATCCACGAGGGCGGCCGTGTGCTGCTGGGCTGAATCAACCCTTAAGATTTAATAATAAAATAATATGCATTGTTGGGTGAAGGGGGGTCGTACTAAGATACATTTTTGGACATGAACCTATATTTTTGGAACTGATAAACCAGATTCGATAGCATTAAAGTCTTTATGTCAATAATATGCGCGTGAATCGGGATGTAGAAACACAAGGAGACACTGTTACTGAAATCATCGATGAAGGATCTATTCGACACCTGAATATCTACCAACTTTTGTGCAGAGTATTGTGTCAAGACCGAAAACTGGTCGACTTCGGGGAAGACCTCTTGGGTCACCTTACGTCTTTAAAAAGTGCAATATATCAATAAGTATTATGTGCTTTCTAACAAATGCCAAGTCCCTGGCAAAGACCATCTCAGAAATAGGTATCTCACTTTCGAATGTTAGCAAAGACCTCTTTGTTCTGAGAACTCTTGGCACAATATATCTGCCCAAAGAATGGAAAGAGGGCATTCTATGGTAGACCGGTTCTTCAATTCTAAGCGTTACACACGGACCTCAATCAAATGGGCCCTTGAAGAACAAAGTGTTATTCTCTACTAGTGGCTCCATGAGTATTAAGCAGTCCTATTAAAAGATTCTTGTAGTCAAAGTCGTAAAAAATTCAATGGCGAGTTCAAAGAATGCTCAAATTTGAAAATTTGACCATTTTAACCATACTTATATGATAAATTCCAAAAACATTTTGGAATGTCCTAATAAATGTTAAAACTTTCTCGGCCTCTTTGATGTGGTTGGACATCATCTTGCCCAACCTCATCATCTTCTGGATTGTCTTCCATCTCCCCCCCATCAATTCCTTACTGAGTCCCTCCTCTTCTTTCTCCAATGGATGAGGGGTGCTGGTGAATACTTCTTCCTCAAATGGAGCGTTGGGGGTCGTCTGGGATTTACAATTCCCGCAGATTGTCGGACATTTAAGTCCTGCTTTTCGACAACTACGGAGAAAATTCCCAAAGTTAGCATTTTTCTAAATTCTACCCACTATAGGCACATTTCCCATTTTCACGGAATATAAGGGTCCTCACATATTAGATATGCATGTGGCCAAAGTTTTCAATAGTTTACTCCAAAGTTAAAAAATAACACATACGTATCTACTGTGTTTTGGAATGTGGCAGTCGCCCTGCATTCTACAATTGCAAGAGATTGAGTGAAGCACCTCGGTGCGGGAATGTTCCTCTGAAGTGATTATTGGGACAATGCCGGCCCGTGCGGTTTTGTAGGTACCTCAATCGAGGGTTTTTGCCTTCCACACCATACCTGGTGGTACGCGCGGAGGGAGTGATCCCTTGCTACTGGTGAGTTAACAGGGAGGGATGAGAGGCTAAATGTTGCATTTACCAAAAGTTTGGTAAACTCCAGCCCTGCGTTAACATCGGCACAGATAAAATACCCAATTTATCTGTGACATCGGTTACGAAATGGACACATAACCACCGCCGACTCTACGTAACCGACCGCTCATCAAAAGTAGTTTTTAATATAGGTACACCGGCGCTGAAGTCTGCACATTCCCAAGGAGGTAAACAGCGTACAAAGAGCTCAACACTTCTACAGCACTTTGAAACGGGGTACCGAGGTGTACAAAAGGGTGTGCATCAGCGTAAAAATCTAATCTGCTCCAACTTTTATATACTCCCGCTGCATCATAAAGTAGATCAACCGCCGCTCCTCTACAAATGCTCAAGGTTTACCGCTGTCAGCCGCGTAGATCTAAACACTTTTGCAACTCCGAAGAGGGAGAAGAAACATCAAAGTAACGTGCTAAAGAACTTTCCCGCTGGAACAGCAAGTATTACCTTTGTCATGGACTCCAAAACCTCTTCATAGAAAACAAATCCCCTGGAAGCTGGTTTAGTGACCCATGTTGTAGTGCCCTAAGGAGTCTCTGCCAGGTCCGCTTACCGGATCCTCGATGCTTCCCCCTTTGTTCATTATTCCGTCGTTTATTGCTATACCAAAATGTTTCAATCCTTGTTGATGTTAAGAGTCAAGTTGTTCAATGTTACAATTTTTGCTGTGTTCAAATACCAAATAAAAACTGTAAAGGTTTTGTATAATATAAAAAAAACATCTATACAGGTATAATTAGCACATAAGTAAAATTTTTAGACTGTTATAGAGTCGCTATTAGCTTCAGCTATTTGCGATACGACCGATGTCTGAGCCTTAGGGCAACTCGAGGGGCAACTACTTTTCCTTCTGCACACTCTCTTCTTCCTTCTCGAACAACGTCGTCTGCAACTCCTTCTTTTCCTTTTACAAGTACGCCTCTTTACTTTACGTTTGCACGTGCGCCGTCTTTTCTGCAGCTTACATCTGAGCTTCCTTCGCCCAGGTTTACACTTAGTTCGAAAGGGCTTAGCAGCCCTTCCGGCCTGTGCTGCTCTGCACTGGTACTTTCTTCTGCGAAATTCACTCATGTTGCACCACCGGCGAGCTCCTTCGAGCGTCAGCTTGCATGAAAGCCACGTGGGGTATTTCTTACGCAGCTCTTGTAAGAAATTTAAAAAGGGATTTTTCGAAAAGCGGGAGTTTTTTCGTCTTTTGCAGATTACGTTTGTGCCCTTCTCTCTACGTCTACGTCTTCTACATGCCATAATTTCGGAATAAAATTCTCTGAAAGGTCAAACTAAAATTTTGAAGTTAACAAAACAATCTTGTTTGATACGTTAGTAACGCCCAGACGACTACGTAGTTTCACAAATTTCCTATGCAACTAACAAAGTTTGTCTATGGTTACCACTTTATTTTCCAAGGAGACGTAAAATGGTCGGCGAAATACTGACATTCATCACGTCGATCTTTCAGAGAAATGTACAAAAATTCGAAAAGTGAAATATCACGTCCAAATTGGTGTTCGCAGTTCATAGCTTTTCAAGCAAGGTACGGCCATTTTCTGTTGCTGAAACGCTCATAGTTCTTACACTTTTTATTACTCTTTTGGAATTACAGATATGTATTTCGGAAAATGTTTTGTCGAATGTTAAATTACAAGAGAGAAAATTTTGAAGTTAAAACTGCGACATATAAGTGTGTTGCTTGGCAACTTTGGCAAATGACATTTGTTAAATGATTGCCATGAGTGAAGTTGTCAGAAAGCGTTAAATTTGAACTAAACCAGAAGAACATTTAGCCAACAATAATTGGTGCCGAATAATATTCAACAAGACTATTTCGCGAAACCAAATAACTAAAATGACATTGCTCATTTTACAAAGTAAGGTAACTGTTATTTGTGGATATGCTACAGGTAAGAGCTTTGTAGATTCATTGTGTTATAATGTAAAATTCGAACTATTTACGAGGTTAGAGTGAAAAAGCCGTTGATGTTATAAATTCTCACCTTAATATAAGCGAAAACAATATGTGGTAACAAATTCTAACGGAGTGCCTCAAGGCACTCTATTCCTTGTATTATTTTAATAATTGTTTGAAATGTCTTAAAAATGCAAATTACTTCAATGTAATGAGGATAGGTAAATGAATGTTTATTTCTACCTGTTAATTAAATACTGTGTGTACACCGCTATATTGATAAAAGTGCAGATCTCATTCCTGACATTATTTATGGCATAAATGACAGAGGCAGGTAAATGTGTCCCAGCGGAGAACGCCTGTGAATTTTTTGAGGATTGTTCTTCAACGGTACTTTCTGGAAGATCTGCAAATTTTAATATTCAAGAGTGATCTGTAAACTTTCTCTAGGAAGATGCTCAGCTAAAACACCGTGTGCGTAAAAATGTAACCAAGCATAAAAGGGGTAGATTAGACTATAGTATGATCGAAGTAAATTAACATTGGAAATATTTATATTTTCGTATATGGGTAAGTTATACTCTAAGATCCCACATAAGGTCAACCTTCGCCCATCTGTGGACCGAATAAAAATACATTTTTTAGTAATTTTGATATGGAAACAAACAAATTGCAAATGGGTTGTCTAAGATAAGGGGATCTTGGAGAAAACCATAAAGTTCCGATTACATCCGAAAATATGCCGGAAAAACCGAAATCTGCCGATTTATTTTTTTCTGATGCAAAATGAACAGATACAGAAAAACAAAAAACACTTTCTCGTTGCCACTATTTGAGCTGTAGAAGACAGCGTTGATAAATTTCCAATACAACGTTTCTTTGACAATCTTCGTATCTTCTATGGTTTCCGAGATCCCCATGATAAGACATCCATATCTTATCTTGAACATAAACTGTATGTATCTTAAAACTAGATTCTTGCACTTTGGGGTATTTAAAAACCAACTATCAAACTATCAAATTTCGTCGAGATCGAATTTTTTACACCATCGCGGGGTATGGGATGAACATTTTTGAAAAATTGTTCAAAATTGAAAAGTATATGTTTCTAAAACAAATTCTCATTAGCCATTAGTCCCATTAAATTGATCTAAACATGATTTTTTCAAAACATGATGATTTATATTTTGGGCGAAAGTTTTGAGGAAAATTACTTCCTACAAAGACGCAATTTCTGTTAATGGTATTGAAACGAAAAAAAAGACGACTCACTACTAGGATACCGCGATCTTCTAGTTACTGTAAGGTCCAGCACAATTATTCAAGACCAATGACCATTATCGACTATTTACAGTCACTTGTTGGACAATCGCCTCAAATACTAAACAGATGAGAAAATCGTCACAATTGCCCGACTTTCGACACTTGAAGTAGGCATCATACAGGGTGTACCTAAATATGATGTGGCCAAAGGGCTTATTTTATGACTAAAAGCTCACATAAACATAGGTCCGCAAATTCTTCGTTACCGGTCTACACTTCTACAGGGTGTTAAAATTTCAAGATTTTTTCTTTTTTCTTTATATTTCCTGGAGTGTTTGAGATATTTCGGTGAAATGTGTAATATAAGTTACGCCAAAGGCCTTGGTCAATGTCAATGGTAAGGAAAATCTACAGGGTGTTGTTTTTTCAGGGTTCGTTCCAATTTTCGGTGCGCCACTGATATAGAATGTAAAACAAGAATTCATTTTCTCATTTCTTTAGAAATTTTTTGGTCTCTTGTAATTTTTTCGTATGTGTGACCGTTATTGAGAAAGAAAATAAAAATCCATTTTCCGTAGTTAGCTAAATGAAAGTACATATAATTTTTAAAACGGTCCAATAGGTCCTGACTTTATGTGGATATAATCTTGTTGTTATTTTTGCCAGTTGGCATTGAAAATCTTGCGTTTAAATTGTAAAATGTACGGTAGAACTATAACACTGCAGATCGGGAACGAAGCGTTTGCAGACCTACAGTATATTTATATGAACTTTTAGTCATAAAATAAGCCAAAGAATTAGCCCCTTTCGTATTTACATCACATTTAGCAACAACCTGTATAATAATTTTTGCAAAACGGGAAAGGATAGTCCCAAAATACTAAGTAAAAGTGTTAGTCGTATCCTTTTATTTCGTATTTTTTATTTTTGAGGAGAAACAGATAAATATTGAGATGTTGTGGCACACGTATAGCTCGTCAACGAATAACTTTAGGCCCTTACTTGGACCAAAATGTTCTAATTAAAGGTCTCAACAATAGGAACTGTTTTCTACCAACTATCCCCCCCTACCCAAAAAGGGGGTTGGAGAGGGGGGATGAAACTGGTTTTATCTAATGAAGGGCCTCAACGAAAGGAATTAATTTCTACCAACCATAGTTCTTCTCTTCGACCCCTTAGCGTGATCTAATATAATTCCAAATCCAACAGATTGTCGGAGGAAGGTACTTACAAAGGAAGATTGAGACGTCTGGAAGAAATATTGCATTGGTGATATCAAACCTTTAAGATTATGGGCGCAAATAAAACGAGCATCGAAAATTCCTGATATTTAGAAATTGATCTAGGCTAGATGAAGAATAATAGTTCTGAAATTCACTTATATTTTAAAATTCCCAGTCATTTGCTATGATTAAAATGTTTAAGATTAATCTTATGCAATTTCCTCAAATACCCATACCCAGAACTGTTAGAAATATTTCTGGTTTGAAACTAGTAAAAAAAATTGATAAAATCAAAAAGAAACGATTAGGGGACGTGAATTTAGAAAAAAAATGCTAAAATAAAAGGGAACCTACCAATAGTCCTTAGACTGTAGGTTCGGGCAATTTTTCTTGTAATCACCTCATGGCGAACAGTTGACAAAGGATTCTCGGATTTTTTACTACTCGCCCAGTGGTCGATTTTTGGGCAATTCTTAACAGCAAGAAAAATCTTCCCGAGCATAGAAGCAGTCAAGTCCCAAGCACCATTACAAATCTACCGGTACAAAATGGTCAGATTGAAACCAAATGGCCGATAAATTCAAATTTATGAAACTCTGTATAATATACATCATTAATAAATGATACTTACATGTATTCTTGCTGACAATGCCTTTTTAAAAATCAGACCCACTGCTGTTCACTATTTTCTTTCATTCATTTTACTAATGAATCCAACCTCCGCCCTTGGTGCTATTCCACAAACGATTGCTATTTTTCTAAAATCCAATTTATCGCCAAAATTTAAAATATATATTCCGCATATTATACTATTATTTATTGCCTTACTTTTAAAATATTCTCTATTACCCCTTGGCAATTTTTCATGATTATATAAAAACAAATTACTTTTTTTTAGATAACTGCCGCTCCCAATACATCCATCCACGTTTTGCGTAAATATCATAGCTTTTAAATGAACGTAAACAACTTTGAAGTGTATGTGCGTATGTTTACGTTACTCAAGTTTAATGCCAGAATATTAAACCGAAATGTAAGCGCAAGAGAAATAAATAAAATATGAGTTCGGTTTACGTGTGACCACTTTTTTCGGAATTTTTAATTAAACTGGACTTTTCGGTATTAAGCGCGGACATTAATCACCAAAGCGATGGAAAGTTTTACATGACTATTGAGGGAGGAAAATTGCATTAGGGACGACCTACTTTACTACCCTTGAAGAATATTTCAGGTGTGGCGTTCATTAAATTGGATTAAAGTTAAATAAAGCCGGAAAAGGTAAATAAGGAAGCAATTTATTCCATTACCCCAAAAACGTATAGGTGCTACAGAATTTTGTTTCGGAGGGTATATCATGTGGCGACTTTTAATTTCTGTCCCGTTTGTCGTATTTCTCATATTTTGTATGTTGATTTCAACCAGTAATTAAAATTAAAATCAAGCTTCGCGTATCTGTGTTGTGACGATGGTTGTCATGCTCTTAACTTCGTCTTAAAAAGTTACGTGTTGCGGGACGGGAAGTAATTAAAGCTCGCTTTTCTAAATAAAAAATGGTGACGGAAGATAAAAACAGACCAGAATTGTTGAATATATTTTGCCATCGATAGTAATGATCGTTCTTACATGGACGGATTTACATTACCTACCAATTTCGAGCAGAAGAATTTGCGATTTTTAAAAAAATTAAATCATCTGCCTTTTGGCAAGGAAATGCGACCACACACTGAGAGGAACTGCCTGAGAAAATTAAAGTAATATTACAGAGTTAGAAACGATCTCAAAAGTATACCCAAAATAGAACCTTTACGATGTGAAAACTGCCTACATTTACCAAAGATTGTTGTCACTTACATAAAAATAAATTGATCGTATTTAGTTTCACCATCTAAGCCAAGATACAGTTGGTTGGTGAATGATGACAGAACCGCAGTTAGGCTATTATGAGGAAAATGATCGACTGTGCTCACGACATATTGTAATGATAAAAATATAGTTGCTAAATTTCAATCGAACATCACTAATAGGTGTAGCTAGTAGCTGTATTTTAGAATCTCTTTAAAAACAGACGAAAATTAGAAAATCCACCAACATTTCTGTATCATTTCCTTTCATTAACATTGCAATTTTGCAACAAATCTTCAACATGTTCTGAAACCACATCTCTTTAACACACAGTGTTCAAAGGATTTAAAATGTGCCCAGTGTGATTATACAACGAATTACTGTACCCGGCATGTAAGAAGGTGAAAGATCACGTATCCCCGCTAATCATATAATTAACCACAAGCAAGTTGGATCCTCCTGCACGCATATGTTAACTCACAATACTTTCAATTCTCTATTTATAAAATGTGCACAGTGTGATTTTGCAACACATCACCACCATGGCCTGAAACGACATCTGTTAACTCACAAAACCTCAAAGGATTTAAAATGCGCACACTGTAATGGAAATGTTAGGCGATACAACTTTCGTCGGGTCTGCTATTATCTACACTGTGACCAAGATAAGGGTGTCTATCATGGGGATCTCGAAAACCATAGAAGATACGAAGATGGTTAAATTAGGGAGAAGTGGTCCAATTAAAGAGTAATTATCATGCTGGAAAAAAACCCTGAAAATTCCGATTGTTTTTGAAGATATGCCAGAAAAACAGAAATTTGGCAATTTCATTTTTATTTTTTTCCAATGTTATTTGAACAAATACAAAAAATAAGTAAACACTTTCTCATTGCCACTTTTTGAGCTCTAGAAGACCGCGTTGAGAGATTTTCGGTTCGGAGAAATCATCATCAACTTTATTTTTAGTGCATTTTTAAGAATTAAAAAAATGTGCTATTGTTTGCGTTTAGTCCGTCCGTCCGGACCCACTTCTACCGTTTTGAACTACTTCTAGGGGAATGGTCCTAGAGTCCTGGAATTTTTTGCAGTAGGTAGCCTATACCTTGAAGAATTATTTCCTGAGATGCTTTTGAAAGTAAAACGTGCATAACTTTTACATACGACAACCAAGTGGTCTCAGATTTTGCATACAAAAAATTAATTTTATCTCTCATTGTATTCTAATTAAAGGTCCCAACGAAAGGAATTAATTTCTACCAACCATAGCCCTGCTCCTCGATCTCTTATCGTGATCGGGTATATTCCCTTAACCTCTCAAGAACGGATTGTCGGAAGAGGGTAGGTACTCACAAAGGGCGATTGAGACGTCTGCAAGAAATATATCCATTGGTGATGTCAAAACAAAAGCTATTTCGGTTAAAAAAATGCGCTCTACCTGCACAAGAGTTGTGCACAATTTATACTTGTTTTAAATGCCCGTAAAAAAAGTACATACTGTATTGAGTAGCATTTTCTATTACGAATACAACGATGTACGGCACACAAAAAAAACAAAGGTAAGAAATCTGTTGGTTTCTACAGGGCGAGAATACCTAACGGACAAATTTCCTGGAAAATGGAAAATATGTTCGATAGATATTCTGGCCCGGTTAAGATGTGCGCAGGTGCAACTTTTGTTTTTTTTGTGTAACATATGTCATTGAATTCGTGTAATACCTGTAAAGGTATCAATTAAAGAACCTCTTAGTTTGGATACTTTATTCGAATTGATTCAATTAGGTGACAATCACCTATGCGGGAAATTGCAATAATGTAAAGTCAACATTTGATTGGAGTTTGACCTCATGCTTATTACATACATAGGTAGTTAATTTTATAATAATTATTAATTAATAACATCACTACATTCGTAATAAAACCCTAAAGCGGATCTAAAAAACGGCATAGCATGACCTCGGAGTGACCCTAAGGGCTCATTGGATTTGACCCATTTTCAATAGGCTTGTTATATGTGGTATATAGGCCAACTGTGCAATGTTTGAACTGAATCGGACCAAGCCTTTCCCATACAAAAATTGCATCGCCTTGCACTGCCGCTTAATAAAAAATGCTACTCACCAGTGTGTAAATTTTTTACGGGCCATATAAAAAAAGAAAGTTGATGATTTCTCAGAAACAAAACTTTGTATTGAAAATCTCTCAACGCTGCCTTGTAGAGCTCTAAAAGTGGCAATAACATCAGAAAAAAATAGATAATAAGATCGAAATCGGCAAACTTCGGCCTGCCTTCGGAAGTAATTGGAATTTTCTAGTTTTCTTTCAAGCCTGATCATAACTGTTTAATTGGCGCAACTTTTTCTTAATTTGAACATCGGCGTACCTACTATGGTTTCGGAGATCCCCACGATAGACATCCTTATCTTGGACACGGTGTATATAAATAAAAATTAATGTTTGTCTGTCTCATGCGTGTCTAAATCGACTGGTTGGACGTATGCCCGCGAAAGTTTCTGAGTTAGTAAAACACTTTCCGAAATTCCCACGGAAACGGGAACAGAAAAAAAGGAGGATTGTATGTTTTACAGTAGGAATGGGATTTGACATTTCGAACGTAGGTTTCTTCGAGAGCGTGAAGGTGTACTCTGAAAGAACTTCCCGAAGTCCCACGGCAACGGCGAAAAACAGGAAAGGGGTACGAGAAAAAACGGGATTTCCCAAAAGCGGTACGAAGTTCGCTGGGAACATGACTTACTTTATAATATAAGGCATTTCCATGGAAGCGCATTATAAAGGTGTTTGCAAGTTCATGGAAGACATTTTGAACATATTCTCCTAACAGACGTTGAAAAATTTGTAATTAAGGTGTAAGCTTGTTTTTATTGTAATATCTACCATAAGCATAGCTCCCTAACAATAGAGGACATTTAAATAACTAAATATTAGCACATACGTAGCTTTTATGTAGATTCAAATGTAAACAGAAGTGGATCATTTAAAATGTCAAAGTTACCCCCCTCCCACTCCTAAAAATTGAGTAAAGAAAAAAATTGTAAAAAACGAGTATTTAAAATTTGCCCCCCCCCCCAATGTTCTTATTAAGTCACCAAAATTTAAAAAAAATATTTGACAACCATTTTTGAAATATCGCCTTGTGACTATAAAAAACTCACTAACCCTGTAGGTATAATATTTAGGGTGTAGGTGCCTATATTTTAATTCGTAGATGTTTGAATATTTACATAAATTTCTTTGACATGTAAAATTTTTTTACGTTTCGTCAACCTAAACTGAAATAGGCTCAAGGTTGGGGCACATTTCTCCGTTCTGTTCCGTCACGTCCACCGCCGACGACGGTTCGCGCTAACACACAGTAAAGGTCACCGCACACTTGTCCGTTCCGTCACGTAACGAACCGTTAAAAAAACGTTCAACATAAAAGACATTGAATTAAACGTCTCTGTGCACATTAGCACGTTCCGTCACAGCTCATAAGTATGCGTTAGGGCGATCGGTTGCCAGCTGTCGAAGTGACGGGACGGAACGGACAAGTGTGCGGCAACCTTTATAAATCGTGACGTAACGTGACGGAACGAGCTAATGTGCGCAGAAACGTTTAATTCAATGTCTTTTACGTTGAACGTTTTTTAACGGTCCGTAACGTGACGGAACACGGAACGGAGCGGACAAGTGTGCGGCAACCTTAATTAAACAAATCGTCTTTGAAATGATTAGAGAGTAACCATCAAAACGCATCTATAACTGTTACAAATTAAAAATGTTTTTTGTTTTTTATGTTATCGATTTCAAAAAATTATCAAAGTTCTCATGTGAGATCGAAGGGACTTCAGCGCATTTTTGTGTGGCAGATCAGTATTCTATTAGCCACTTTCGACTCGACCATCAATAACAGATCTTGTCGAAGGCTACTACATTCACTAACTGTTTCCCACTTTCCGCGTGCACCCGCAATTCGCTTTTAAAGTTAAAATCGTGTCGGGGGCTACCACATTCCCTTTGACGGTAGCCACTTCCGACGTCCCGCCGTTCACCCGCAATTCGCTTCTAGTGGCGACACGAGAAAGAGAGACAGCGATTCGAGATTTACGAAACGTTAAACCGCGTGAGTTCGCAACGGAAGGTAAAAGGCGCCCGAAGTTGACTACTTCTCGAAGACGCGCGCGCGCTTCGCAAAAAGTCGTTAATTTCGCCCCTAGGACAAAAAACAAAATTCCGCCACGCAGGAGTTGTGCGCGTTTACAACATCTTTCCGACGACACCAATTTGAAAAGAATCGAACCAAAACTGTAGTAGAAGATAGGAAAAAACTGAAAAACCTTCACGTTAGTATACTACGCTCGAGGATGACGCCCAGATGTCGCCAACCCCACATCATGTAGCCATGTCCCTAAGGTTGATAAATTTCACGGCCTTGTAGATACACGTACACCCGTTGCCTTTCTACAAGAGTTCTTCTACGCGCCCACATTTGCAGCCAGCCAGCCAGCCAAAGTGAGATTAAAAGCTACTTTTTACAAATAAATTTGCAAAAATGCGCTAAAAAGTATAATACAGCAACGTTCATTACACGCCCAGAAGTGCTTTTTCCGTGTCATTCTTTGGAGTATTCTAAGGATATTTTATCATTTGATGCCTTTTGAAAAAGCACTATGTTGCGAAGATACAAGGTGAACAAATAGGAGTGGTATCCCTTAGCAATATGCCAAAGATCGCTGGATTGGTCGAGGTGGACCTCACTTATGGGCTGCTCTATCCCCGAACTTAAACCCCCAGGATTATTTCCTAAAATCATTAGCTTACACTAGGCTAGTGGACGATTTAAGAGATCGGATTAATTGCTGGGTGTAACTCAACCCTCGACGCTGGTCTTTTTGAAACAGTCCGGGAGTCGATGAGGAGAAAATTGGATGGTTGCATCTGATTCGGAGGTGGCCATTTTGAACAATTCTTGTAGATTAAGAAATGATACATGTAATTTTTGGTCCTAATAAATCGTTATTATTGTCGAAAAATATTTCGCCCTGTATTTTCGCAACAAAACACTTTTTCAAAAATAGTCAAAGGATAAAATATCTCGTTAATTTTTGCCGCATGTTTAGTAAACACCCTGTAGATAGACAAAGAAGATAATCAATAAAAGAACAAGACTATTCTAAAATGGGTAGAACCGAAGGTAAAACCCTCTTGGTTATAGTCGAGCATCTAATCCCCTATATTGCTATTCTTTACACTAAGGTTGTAGTTGTAGTCCCATTCTAAAATTTTGAATAACCAAAAAGTATAACACAAAATATATTCTTCATTCCAGCTTTACTGGTTATTATCATTTAGGAGTTTGAGTATTTTTTGAAAACCATTCATTTCGCAGGAAATACCGGCCAACAACTACAGCTATGCCTTCATCATCTAGCCGCCGAATGAGCCATAGCCGAAAAAAATAGACGTAGAAATTTTCCTTGTTTGTTACCAATTCCAAAAAGATCATTAATTAACATCCGAGGCACACATGGTAAAAACACAAAGCTATTTTCGAACAAATTTCTTAGTTTTTTGGCAAAAAGAAATTGTTGTAGTAAAAAAGTTCCAGCGTTAATCGAGCATCAAGCAATCGTGTTAGTATTGCACACACCCAAGCAAAAACCTTTGTTAGTAATTACACCTCAAAAAATCTTACCAAAATAACGTCCGTTTTAATTTTCTCCGGCGGACCGACAGATTCGCAAGTAGTTTGTACCGTCTCAATTTGCACAACTTTCCTACCGGGCGTACCCGATTTTCTCTCTCTCGCATCGTCGTCCGAATACCTAATGATTCCATTAGGTACGCTGTTCGTTCTTTTTGTTTTTGTTAGCGTCGTTTCGTTTGGTTTAACGTTAGTTTGATTTTCGGCCGGCTGAATTTCGGCGGTCGGAAACGCGGAAGCGTTGGTTTCAGTGAACCACTGCTTGTGAATTTGCCAACTGGTATCCATGAAGCGATCGGCGGCTTCCTGTAAATATCTACATTTTACAAATTGTTGCGTTTTCTAAATCGGTAGAAATGATAGATGACGAAATTAGAAATAGACATTCATAAATTTCGACCTAACTATGTCGATGTACAGTAAGATCTGTCTCCGTTACAAAAGTGAGTGCTTGGTGCAGGTACCATAAAAGGATTTAATTATTCCGGGCGCAGCTTTCTACCGTGGAACTGACTTGCACGTAAATCGCCTAACTCGATAAAATGTCTTGATCCAACTCAATGAAATGTGAAAGCAATATTGTGGTATGCAAGAATTTTATCGTGCCCTTCAACAAAACTCAATTTGTGAAATGCAGGAGACTATCAATATTTTTCCATTACTGGAAAAGTAAGTCGTATTGGCAATTTTTCTATTTATTTGCGCTGTACACATAAAAATACGTGAATCATGTAATTGAGAAATGGTGTTTATCATCGTCAGATTAGCCTCTAAACCTTTGGTACGACTATAATCAAAACTGTAACTATCAAAATGCTAATATTAGCAAATTATTACAAATTTTAGTGATAAACAATTTAAATCGTTTGGAATGAACTAATTGCCAAAAGAATGTTCTCGTTTTTAATCTTCTTTGTATTATTATTCTTTGTTTTAAATTTAGAAAGATACGTTTCAAAACTTTTAAAAATTATCGGATCATCTCGCTTTACAATTGGGATATCGACTCAAGCAAAATATTGTTCAAGATCCATTACCGGCCCATCCTGCGAGTATTTGGATCGCGTATTTTTCTCGGGGCGATATCCCAATGGTAAAGCGAGACGACAAGAAAAATGAAGTAAACTCGACAATTTTTACAAGTTCTGAAACGTATTTCAAATGTATCCCTAAACTTAAAACTGATGAATTATATTTTTTTATAGTTCGTTTGTATTTTGAGATGGCCTGAAGTGCATAAAATTATACTCAAAAATGTTCCTAAAACCAACACTCACAAGAAATTATTTTATGTCGCCGGGAAATACCCTTCCACAACCTTGAATCACAAACAAGTTACGTGACGAGGACCCCATCCGAAGGAGTGAAAGCTGCCCCTAACGCACGAAAAAAAAACATTCAAAATTGATCTCAGAATCTTGCTGAATACTAGAAACAACTCTTTAATTTTAACTAGGGTTCGATTATCATCCTAATTGTTTCGTTTTATAGATAGGTATCTTTCTAGTCATTACAGTCATAGCTGCCACCGCTGACAGCACCCACTTTTTCTATGTTGATTGTAAAAAGCTACGCCACGGGACATTCGAGCGTATTCGGCAATTTTACTGCTGAAAATTAGCTGCTAACTTCACACATGTTTGGTTAAATATGGATTGTGTTTTCTACCACGCCCCTTTTCATTTCACATTATCGGAACGAGAAACGGAGCACAATATGTCATCGAAATATATTAATGAATAAAAAAGTTGTTATTGCGCATGTGCACATTAATCGTCAAGATTTTTCTTGCCTCAGGTGCCAGAGCTATCAGCTACTGATTTCAAAAAGCAAATATGGCCTTTAAAACACACGTGCTTTAAAGTTGCTAAGTAATGATACTTCAAGTATGACTTTTGAAACTGTCATCTGGTGCTGAAATAAAAAATCTTCTTAGGTCGCATTCCGTAAATGTTGAACATTTCTTTGGCTTGTACCTATCTTTTGTTTGAAGCTTTCATAAACGCGCGCAATTTAGGGTATGCTGCAAACTCTGTTCAAAATGTATACGCATCATTGTTTGAAGTTTTGAATGAATGCACCAAAGGATAGCAAATTTAACTACGTTTGACATTTCCATCATATATGCCAGCATTATCGATGCATTTAAGTCTTTGTTCGTACGATGCTTATGCATCCACGGAAACAACTGTTCATATTCTTTATAATAGGCTTTACTAGATTTCGATTTTAGACCTACCTACTTTTCTTCTGCTTTTGCAACAAGCCACTGAATGAACGGTGTATTATCTTTTTCAACGGAAGTCATTTTATTTACAAACACGGTGATTTTTCAAAGCAAACGTCAAGTTTTACCTACCGACTTTTCTTCTGCTTTTGCAACAAGCCATAGAATAGACAGTCTTTTTCAACTGAAGTCATTTTATTTACATACACGGTGATTTTTCTAAGCAAACGTCAAGTGACATTTCCATGGCAATCAGGAATTAGGGAGTTACGAGTATAACGTCAATATGATTTTATTTTATTTCCCTTATTTTTAAATTGCATACTATAAGAAACACGTGTATAATTGGTCTTTACAGCTCTTGCAATGTGTAAAGTCGTTACTCGTGCTTAAGAGATTTTTACGAGCTTCCAAAGACTTCTAGAGCCTTTAATATTCCATAAACATTTCAAGAGTCTCATATGATCTTTAAAAACCCTTTATAATCTTTAAAAGCTTTATCTTGAGGCGCGTTAAAAAGCTCTTACGGATTCTCAAAACTCTTCACGGAGCTTTTACAGTTCTTAATGTGCTCTCCTGACTTTGATAGCCGAGGATTCAAGTGCTCCTCTGAATTTTTCAGACCTTTTAAGAATTTCATATATACATGGTAGAGCAATCAAGCTAAGTGTACATATGTACAGAGAGATTACCAGAGTGGGATCTGCGAAGAGTCACAATTCCGGAATGGCAAACTTTGACACAGATCGGCCAAAAAAATTATTTTGAAAGAAATTGGAAGTCGCATTATACGGGGCGTTTCATAATGTATCTATTTGCGTTACAGTTAGGAAAATTCAGTACAAAAAAGTAATGATGTAAGTACATGCTTTAAAAAGTCGATTATACACTACTTTCTTAATATACCATTTTTAGCGCATTAAAAAAAAATTTAATTTTATCTTTCATGGTATTTTAATTAAAGGTCTCAACGAAAGGTACAGTGTTCTACCAACTACCACACTTCTTGCTGACGTATCAAAAGAGGGAGGGGGGAACTGGTTTTATACTTCATGGTACTATAATGAAAGGTCTCAACGAAAGGTATAGAGCCATAGTACTAATTGTAATGAAAAAATCACTAAAGATGCAATGAATCCAGATTATGAAAATTGGGGTTGATCAAAATGATATGAGCTGTGGACGTCGATGAACATCTAACCTGGATGTAAATACTAAATAAATACACTTCACATCTGTAATTGTGCCAATAACCTTACCTTGGCATTTTTTTAACTATATTAATTAGTCAGCAATGTACTGTTTATATATTAAGTGTAAACTTAACATCTACCAATTCTAAAATAAAAACATTATTAGCGAAAATCTTGGGAGGTATTTTCGTACAAAGAATTCACTTTAAAAGTGTTTTTGCTCCCTGTTTTTTAAAACTTTTCCAGCAGCCCTCGTAGCAGTTCAGGTATGTAAAGCAACAACACGAAAATTATATATCTCATCCTCGTATGACCTGAGCCTTAACGTCTTGATTGAGTTGGAACAAAAAATAAACGGTATGGTCGCAACGTCGCGCTTGTTATGTTGCCTAACCACCCGTCTTTTACGAAGACTGCCATTAACTAATAGCTGCAATAAACAATACAAAGATAAGTACCTACAATGAAATATCTTCAGGAGACAAGAACGCATTTCGTGTATTAATTGTTCCAATTCAATCACAAGTTATAATTAAGGACCACCAAAAAGGCGCCATCCATAATTCAAATTTTAATTGTTTTCTAATAATTAATTATCAAAGTGAAAAATACCTTTTCAATTCTTACGTCAGCTGTTTATAACTTACCTACAAAATACATTATTATAATTCTTAATCTACGCGAACATAATTAAACCTTTTATAGATCTAATTTATTATCATGGTCACGATGGCGTGGTTATGTAAAAGTAATGCGCTATAAGCACGGCGACTTTGAACTTGAGCACGTTGCGGCAATAGAAATTTGGCATAGAATCCAAACGATGACAGAGCAAATATTGGCTAACTGGGTCGATTCTCGACTACACGCATCGATATAGATTTCGTAAATAGAAGCAGGAAAATTTGCCAGAATAATTTATTCATATTGAATACATTGTATTGAGTGACATTGCACTATGCAAGTTATTTGCTCTACTTTCTTTTTTCTACGGCTATGACCTTTTTTAGGGTAGGATTGCAAAACTCACGCAACCTGCAAGGCCCAAACGTAGTGAAATTTGGCAAATTATAAAAGTCCAATGTGTGGTTACCAAACCCGTCTGGCTTTAAATTAGTTGACAAAAAAAGTCCAAATTAAAAGTGGGAGATCTTGAAAGAGCTTGAAAGTGAAACTGTTATTTGCAGACGTAACCTAAAGCGCCGTTTACACACAACATTTTGTTAGACTGCATCTGCGTCAACAAGACGTTGCAGACGAAACGTTGGATGCAAATCTGTACACAAACTGGCACACATTGTCACAAATAGTCAACCTACGAAAAAAGAATGCTTCAGATAAATGATTTATATGCTGGTTGAATTTGACTGCACCATAAAAAAATGACCTTTAAAGGTCAATCATATACAGGGTGTTTTTTTGGGAGCTTTAGTTAAACGTTTCTGGGAAAATAAAATAGGTAGGTTTTTGAAAATTTGAACTTAGGAGTTACTCTGAAGGCCGAATCGATGTAAAATATTTTCAAAATGGCCGCACTTCCGGAAACACCGGAAGTAGATAGTAACTTCGTTATTTTAAATGGCAACCCCTATTTTTAATTTAATTTTTGGATTCTACGTGAAATTTCAACCCTTTTGATACCCATATGTCGATATCTGCCATTTATGGTTTTTAAGTTATTTTGACTTTAAGAAAAAAATGGCGGATGCAGACGGTACCTTGATAATTGATTACTTGAAAACGGTTGTAGTCATGGCAACCCATTTTTATCAGTGCATAGAGAATGAATAGGGCTTTCTTTTAATGTACTTAAAAAAAAGTTAAGTTGCGTACAATCGCACCTATGGAGATCCAAATTTAAGAAACTTTAAAGTCTAAAAACTCAG